CAAGGCAATACGCCCTGCCCAACTTCAGGGCAGCATTCGAAGAAGAGGGCGACATGAAGGTACTCCCTGTGGATGTACAAGACCTGGATGCCGGGGGGTGTTGCTGCATCTGCCTTAGAGCCCTCCAAATGAGACCTTGATTTGCCGCAATGCCCTTGATTGTCTCTGCAACTCCGGGAATTCTCTAACCCCCTGGAAATATCAAGCACTGCCGAAATCTGGAAAGCTGTGCCGGGCTCCAGCAACGCGCAAAACCCTACGAGCAAGGCCATGTATCGCTGCAGCCCCACTATACCTTGGTATTTTGCATGAAAGCCCACCTCCGGGATATATCCATCAGAGCATGTGCAGTAGCCGACAGGCCGCCCAACGGATACGCACTCTGCAAGGGCAGAGGCTCCTCAAAGTTCAGGTGTCCCTAGGGTCCCTCAGGATACGTGGCAGCCATACAGGAACTAGGCCGGTCCCTCTTAGGGATTTCCCAGATGCAATTTTGAGGAACACCCACGTCTTTCATTGACTCAAGAACAAAGTACTTGAGGTCAGAGTCAAGGCAAGCTTCAAGATTGGACTTGAGGGTTTGACTGTCAGCGCTCCTTGCTGGGGGAAGCCATCTTTTTTGGAGACCAATTCAAAAACAAATACCGACAACTTTTTCGCCTATAGACCAAAGATCATGGGGCTTCATAAAATGGGGACCCAACATAGACCACCAGATACCATAAGCCCTTCTTTTGGGACCCTCGAGAAGGGATCCTTCGCTCTCGGAAATCCCCGCAAAGTTGTTACTAACATACCACAGGTCGACAGAATACGGCTCTGTTAAACCAGCTGACAGGTAATGTACTATCCTCAATGCTGCTGGGTCTTGCCTGCGACTCCACTTGGTTAGAATACCCCGAAACTGGTAGAGTAGGAATCCACAGCAAAAAGTAGATGCGCTAGAGCTTTTGCAGGAGGGCTCCTGTGGCAATGCCCACAGTCACGGACTCTAAACAGACCCCCGAATTGGGATAAAGAATGCAAAGCCTGAAGCCGAAGTCCCCAGCCTCCAAACTCTGACAGGCATTTCTCCGGATTGCTGCCTGAGCTTTGCAAGACTTACTGGGCTTGGGCTGTAGGGTGTCTACTGCCATGACAATGATTGTCTCAATGGGGCCCTTGGCCGTCTGAGGTTGATGTTCCATGGAGATACATAAAGGTATATGGGGATTTTATAAGAATTGTAAAGGGAAAATGGAATACAAGTATGGAGCCTGGTCTCTTCTTGCCTTAGCTGGGTCTTTGAGACCATCTGAGCCCATCACCAAACTTGCCATGTTTTTATTCGGTTACCCTGCAATCTTCGTTCTTAGGGTGATATCCCCACCCTAAACCCAAAACCCTCATCCATGTGTAGCACATCCTTGGCCATCCCGAAGACCTATTGACTTTCACGCCGAGGTGCTTGGTCGCCATTCTGTACTCGGCTGGTGGTGCGGGCCTTGCCAGTGAGGGGTTTAGGTTCTTCAAGCAGAACATCACAGTATAATATACTGTATTACACTGTACCCTACTATGTTCTCATACGTTGTACTATGCTACAGTATGTTACACGGGCTCGGGATTGAAGCCGATGCTTCTGAAATGCTTGGTGGTGCCCGCATGCACTTCACAGCATTGCATTTATGGCTGTTGCTGCTGCATAGATGATGCTGTCGTTCAGCCCTGAAGCTCAGACTATGCAGCATGTGAATATCTGATTATCTTGGTGCTAAAAATGATGACGGCAATGAGACAATCCAGATACATCTGAAGACACAGCCGCTTTTGGGGGGTAGCGGACTGATTTGCTTTTCGGCATGGTTGGAGCTCAGTAGAGGCGCGGGTCTGTGAACAAATCGCACCAGGTGAGTTCACGTTTTGGGCACTGGCCTGAAAATGGAGGAAGTCATGTATGGAGCCCGTTGAAAAAAAAGGGAACCCAAGCTTAGGGATCTGTATGAGCTATAGTCTGAACTCCTAGCATCCCCCTTAAGTATCCCGACAGTCTCCCATATAATCCCCTATATACCCCCCCTTGAAGGAGTTGAGACTATGGCTCACTAACGACGTTGTTTAATGAAACGCACCCACGCATCAGCAAATGCGTCAGATCTATAACCAGGTCGCCTTGGCACTCTCCAGCAACCAGCGTCAGCCGCGCCAGCGCGAGAATCCAGAGATAGAACATGGCTGCAGGAGGGGCTTCCCAAAATCAAAATACCCCTATACCGTTGATGGATGCTGAAATCTTGCACCACCTAGGGCCTCTAAACTACGGCAATTCCTAGGTTTTTGTGGACTTAAGGTGGTGCAAGATTCCTGCAGCCACAGTAGGCAGCCCAATATCTTTATGATCCTCATCAGAGGTAAAGTCACAAAAGCAGTGCAACCCAAACCACTAAACCCTGAACCGAGAATCTGCAGTGTCTCATAGCTTGGACATGAGGAACCCTGCAGTGAAGCCATGCATGGCCCCATGATGCTGCATGTTGTTCCTGAGACGTCTGAGGCTCAGTGGCTGCAAACACCGGAAACTACCAGAGTAGAAAAATGGAATCCACTACACTATGGTCTATTCTAGTGCTTTGGCCAGTGGCAGTTCATGAGGCTGTTACTGTCACAGTATGTGGGTGTGTGTCACGGCTGCCCTGCTTGACGTGTTTTGATATACAGGAAAAGAAGATGACAGTAATGACTGAGCCAGACTAAAGTGCAGCTTGATCTTAGATCCACATTGCAAAGGGATACCTACACTTACGAGTACCAACGAAACCATTTCAGTATCAACTTCAACGACAAATGTTGGAGCTGCACCCGCTTCCCTGAGCAGGATGCTGCGTGACCACCGGCTGCAGCATACATCAGCGCGGTACCTGCCCAACAAGAGAAGCCTGAAATAGATGAACAAAATTAAAGTGCTCAGATTGTTTATGAAGGCTAGCCATAGGAATAGCACACTCCAACACTACCTAGAACAGTAGGAGATAGTGTTCACAGTGTCTCTTGCTGCCAAGACTCCTCGGAAACTGGGAGGAGGCTCTCGCCAATCCACCTGGACCACAGCCCCTGCATTCTGCTACAACTTCCATACTGGTGCGAAAGGGAAAGTGGGGGAGTGAATGAATAGGTATAATATATTGGGGGATATGTAAATATGTGTGTATATATATGGGGATTCCATAGGGATATTTGTAGGGATACATCCTCCCACTTTCGCTTATGCAACTGTAGGCTTCCCTTAGCTTTGGGACAAACCTCAAGGCCATGAGTCTAACCAATAGTTCAACTAACTTGCTCTTTCTTAGGTAGGGAATAAGGGAATATAATCCCTGCGTAATCCCTGTATACTATATTCCTTTTTACCTACCACGAACGAGTAAGTAATGCAATGAACTTACTTGCTTGCAACCCTGCCCCCCCCCCTCCCCCCCCCTGGCCAGATGAATTGCTAGCACCGCAGACATTCAAATAGAGGGAAACCGAATGCGCTGCCTGGCCAAACCTGGGTGCCCAGGTTAATACACGGGACGGATATAGGCGTAAAAAAGACAGGACCCAACTTCTTGGCAACTTTCACGTGTAGAAGCCCTAGCAAAGAGGTTCGCCTGGCCGTGCCCAAGCCATCTCACGGTGCCTGCACACATGCGTGGGGCTTGCTTACTGGTTCTTATATGTTGTAGGGAATAAGAGAACAGGTCATATAGGTATTACATAGGGAATTCTATATCCTTACTCTTACTAACCCGAAGCTCTGAACTCCATATATCTAACATAGAGAAATACTATCTGTATATATATATACACATATGCACATATTCGCTTGTTCCCTGCTAACCATCAGAAAGACTTTGTGCTGGCAGCAAGCTGTCTCAGAATCAACTCACGTGCTTGCTCTGGGCGCACTCCATTGCAGCCGCAATTCTCTTAACTCATAGGTTCCTAGTAGGGAATATAATCCCTGTGGAAACTCTAGATACCGTATTCCCATATTCCCTTCCCAGAACCAGTGAGTGTCACACATGCGACATGCCAAGCGGTCTAGTCTTTGGATGGCGTTTGCACGCCCCTTCAGAACCTTGCCTTGGACATCTCCATGTGCTGCTGCAAGGCACAACCTCTGGCGTGGATGTGCTGAGAAGATGAAGCTCATGAATCCCTCTACAAGAGCGCAGCACACGCTTGAAACTCTGAGGGCTGCACGCCCATTCCTCAAAGTGTGGGTTCCGGTCGTTTGTTGTGCCGTACTGCCTTGCGGTGTAGCGTTATGCTTAATCTTTACAACCCAGCAGCTTCACACTGCACAGTTCACTGCATAGCATGGGCTGTGCCTGAGCACATCGGTGACGCCGTGGTGCATCAAAGCCTTCTGAATCCGCACGCAAGAGAAATTGTTTTGGGATATGCTCACACTGCTAGGCCTCGGAGAGCTCAAGGGCAGTCCTGGCTTCAGCCATGTGAGAAAAGCTGGATCGCAGGTCACTCTCTTACAGAATCTTGCGGTCTCAAGTGAAATCTCCTGCGAGAGCGAGGATCCAACCGGTTGAGGTCTGCCCTCATGACCGCCAGAGCTTCCTGGGCAGCATCTTCGGGTTGCTGCCAGAGTGCGGTCGGCATTGCCATGGAAAGTATGGTCCCGCATCTTCAAAGGCTCCCACTCCTCTCTGCACAGCTTGCACACTGGCAGAAAGGCAGTCAAAGCTTTTTGTTCTTTGGCTCACTGCGCAAGCGCTATAGCTGGCCGCAATGTGCATTCGTGGCGGCACGGCCGCTGGACCATGGGGGATGATGGGGATGTCTTGGATTTTCTTCCAGGTCTAGGCATGCAGCGCAGCTCCACTCCCGCCTCCAGCAAATCGTGGGATTGGGATAAGTTACTGTAACTGATGTTTAGTACTTCATGTTTTTGGGCATAATTTAAAAACACATACTGCAAGATTGGGATAAGTTACTGCAACTAATGTTTAGTGCGTATCTTATCACAAAAGTCCATAAGCTTTGAAAACTCTCACAGCTTCTTGTGCGGCACTTTCTTCCGCAACCTTGGCATGCCAAGATTGCTGGGTTGTGGCTGGGAACAGAGGTTTCCCAAAAATCGTGGTCCCTTCTTGGGCGTCTATATCGGACTCCCCCTACTTATGGAAACTACCACGCACAAGGCCACATGAGCTGTAGTCTAAACTCCTAGTATCCCCCTTAATCACCCTAGAATACTCCCCTATATCATCCCGTGTATAACCCCCTGTAAGGAGTTTAGACTATAGCTCACATAAGATTGGGTCTGTCATGCATCTGTGGCCAGAATGGAGATCACTTCAGCGGGATGCCAGAATCAGATTGCTCTAACATCGGCCCTTTTCCTTCTCAAGCCAACAAATATGTAGAGTATGCAAATTCCTGGCAAAACGATCGTCAAGGATTCCAAGACCTTAGATCAATGACTCAATTTTGGACCCATTTACCGTCTAAACCACCATTTGGGTTGAGGTCGGGTGAGGCTGTCCTAGTTCGTCCTGAAAAATCGGCAGGTCAGTCTTTTGAGTTTATTTGGTACGTTCCCCAAATAGAGGGACCCAATATAGACCATAATCTACTATAGTCCTTATTCTAGGGACCCCCAATAAGGTACCCCCAATTTTGGGAACCCCCCCCATTTTACGGTCCACGTTATCATTCCGGTGCGCACTGTGTCCTCTCCCTGAAGAAGATTAAAACACCCGAAAAAGGGCACCCGCGCAGCTTAGGGTATATATTGTGGTTATATTGGGGACAATGGAAAAGAAAATGGAAATTACTATTTAGGGTTTAGGGTCTAGGGTTTTGGGGTTTAGGATTCAGCTATTTAGAGTGCCTTCAGAAAATCATGAAGAGCTCGGAATGTGGAGGGGATTAGTCCCAACCATGCAAGCCACCGCATCGGTTCGCTGCCACTCACCCGCAAACTCCAGGGGCATCGCGCTTGGCAGGACCTCTATCCTGAGTGGGAGTACCATGTGCAAAATACCTTGACTTAGATGGGTCGCTTGGTAAGGATACCCCAATAAGTGGCTTACAAAGAAGTACAGGCTTTCTTGTTATGGGGGAGTGGTGGCAGAGAGAACCCATGATGCGTGAATCATATGGCAGGTCGGGCTGGAAATGTGGGTGAAAGTCTGATGAAGCTCCAAACATATGAGAGGAATTGGCTCCACCCTATGGAATCCATCCACATCCATCCCCAACTGACGCTTGATCATCGCCTCGCAATGCGCTCATGGTACAGCAGCTGGAGGCCATAACTGGCTAAGCGCCTCCACTTGGACCGTTAAAAAAGTGGTACCTGGTGTTTCCTAGAACTTGTAGCACTGCATTTTTCCAGAGCCCAGCAGTCTGCAAAGCAATAAGAATCCAACACCAACCATTCCAGAGTTGCATGTGAGGCTGTTTGTCTGACAAGCTACACAGAGGCTGTCAGAGTATAAGTAGCCCAAGGTAGATTTGTTCGTCGGCTTACGTGCAGCCCCAGCCCAGCGGCGCTCGATCCGGCAGCCTCAGGTTTGCCCTCTTCTTGGCGTTCTTGGTGTCCCGCGTCCTGATGACATGATGGAATGGGGCCACTCTTCATGGAAAGCTGGAAGCGTACATGCGGAAGCATGCTGGAATTCGCCATGTTGTCAAGCCCTCTGGGCAAGGCCATGACTGACATGGCAAACACTGTCACCAAAGCGCAGACACTTTACATGAATCACAGCCCAGTGGCTCAATTTGGTAGCTGACCTCTCCACGTGCAAAGCCCAAGCGCACCCTGAGCGGCAAATCGAGAAGAAGGTGTGATTTCAGTGTGTAATTAGCTTCGGACATGTTGTGCGAATGCAAGTCACGCAAGCCAGGATTGCAAGCCTGGTTCCCTAAAGCAGCCAAGTAGCAAAGCGCTGTTGAGTATGCTCCTAATGCGTGCCGTTCGCAGACACGCATCACATCTTCAGGCTCACTCTCGGCGCAACTAATGCTGGGACTGCTGCAGCCAGGCTCTACGTTAAGAACGATTGGCAATCCGCAAGTCGGACCACAACAACATGAGACATCCAGCAGACTGGTATCTGGCTGCACTCCTGCTAGACAGGGCGTGCCCACGCGGCGCATTTTCATCCAGGTCCTGCTAGTGCTTTTGCTTGGTTGGAGATGTCAACGTCAAGACCGTGGCTTCAGTTTCTCACCACCAGTTGGGCCGAGGGTTCAACCCTCTCAACAAGCTCCCCTGACAGGCCAGCCTGCTACCAATAGCCTTCAACTGGTGTTGGTAAAGGGTGCAATCCTGGGAGAACATGTTTTTTGCAAGGTCCTGTGGATCAAACTGCTCAATAAAGCCCTGCACGAAGCTCCTTGCTGACACGGCGTGCTGTGCCCAGGAAACGAAAGAGACCAGCAGCATGCTGCTTGCCACTTGACTTACCAGTACGGCGTCATGCAACGCGCCGCAGAACAGTAGCTAAGACCCTTAAGATCTGCGCGGCTGCCGGAAGGCTTCTGCCATCTAGCCCAGGCACTCTGGATAGCTCAGTGGATCCAGGCCTCAGTGAAAGTACAGGTTTAGAGCTTAGGGACCTCGTCTTCTGACACACAAGCTTACAAGGCAGCGGCACCCTTGTCTCAGAATCTACCGGCACGATGATGCAAGTACCAATTTATGGCTCCTCCGCCTCCTAATCCCAAACTTACTGGGAGTTTCTAGGGAAAAAGCGAATACATTACATTGGGATTATATTTTCCTATTTCCACCAACCCTAAACCCTAAAGCCTTTCTGTAAGAATGTATATATATATATACAGAAAGGGAC